ACTCCCTGGTGCTGCAGGAGAAAGTCAAGATAGGGAAACAAAAGATATATGACCAAAGGCCCAATTACCAGAGTGCTCCCAGTCCTTAACTTACTGTGATTGAATGGATGCAAGAGATTTTATGAAGGTAGACTGAATATCTAACTGAAGCAGCCTAGGAATATCTGGGTATCCACCCAGCTGGGCCCAGAGTGAATGCATTGATGTCTTCTCTTCTATTGGGTAGCTTGAAACAGACACATCAACATTCCAGATGGCCTCCATCTGGTCCTCTTGTTGCCTATAGAATCAGAGAGAATTACTTGGAAGCACCAAACTCTTCTGAGCACCATAGCCAATCAAAATATATGAGTCTTATTCTTCCCTCTTCTCTTCACCACCAATTTTTCCTATAATGCCCTCCGCTTGCACTGAGGAGCATTAACTATGCCCATTTTGATGGAGAGATGGATGAAAAAGCAGAATTTGCTGAAATAGTTACCAAAGCTGCATTTCCATGACTTCACCTAGTAATCCATTTTAAAACTACCTTAGCTTCATGGAGTATACAGACCACATATCTTTTACCCTTCCTTCCCAAAGCTCCTGCCTTCTTAAAAAAAAGAAAGAAAGAAAGAAAAAGAGGGGTTAATGCTTCTAAGTTTCTTTATTACACATTCTTAAAATAATTTATTTCTTACTAAGGAAGAATCAGCTTCATCTTCTTTAAAGGTACTCAAAATCAGATGTTAAATATTTAAGTAGAAATATATGTAAATAAACTTCTTGCCATTAGCTAATACTCCCTTAGACTCTCCACTGCACCATATCATAATTGTGGGAAAGGGGAAGCCCTTGGGCAGGGAAAAAAAAATTTGGTCCCATATATCATCCAAACAAAGTTTAAGGTCAGTCTTTCTAACACATACCTAAATTTCTTGAACATGTCAGATTTTCTTTCATCTTCTATTAGTAAGTCTGGCAATGGCTGTTGAACAGGTTTGGTAGAGGCAGATATCTGCATTTTCTCGATGATCAAGGGGATAGGTTTCCTAAGATTCAATTCATACATCTCTTGGAGCTATAAAAAAATTAAATAAGAAAAAGGAAACCATGAAAAGAAAGGGACAGAATCTGTAGAAGGCTCTTCTGAGCTGGCCCTAGACTAATCTATGACTCCTCCTTTTCTATGGATTTACAAATCCTCTTCCTCCTCCTCCTTACCTCCAACACGCATGATTTCAGAGATGGCAGCTATGATATATGAAAATCTTGGTTGTACTTAAGCTCTAGTCCTAGTCCGCTCATTTTCTTGCTATGAGACTTTGGGTTAGTTGCTTAATTTATCTCTGCTACTTTCTCCCCATTTTACATTTTTTTTTTT